AAATCTATGTACATTCAAAATATATTTTATTGCAGGCCAACGACTAGTTCTTGCTTTCACTGGTGATTCAGCCATGATGGAACTGGTGAACTCCACTCACATGCACCTGGGCTTGGGTTATGGTACTGTAAGTGACCATTACCCTCTGGATCTTTGGTATCCTCAAGAACACTTGAGGCTAGCACTCCAGGGAAATGTTTTCCTTGCAAATAGGAGTTTATTTGACTTCCTGGCATCTCACAATAAGGAACCAAGCGTTATTTTTGCCAATGGTGGTGCTTGGCATTTCACTGGCAGGAGTTGCAAAGGCAGGTGAGAACTGCTTTTGGTCTGCCATTGTTTAAGCTAATATTCAGACAATTTAACTTGAGAAAATTTAAACATAATGCATGCCACAAATTCTATGGACAAATGCCTCAAGAGACACTATGCCAAAATTTCCAGAAAAAATGAAATAGAATCTCATTGCATTAAATCTGATAATGAATGATCAATTATTATAACTGAGTCAATTTGTAGGCCCCTGCCCAATAGCCAACATGTTAAATGAGTTATTTTATGATAATTTTGATGAAGCAAAAGCATCTTACTGCTGGTACCATTGTGAAATATTTTACTCTGCATTAATTTTTAGATTTTTTCAACTTGTGAACAAAGTAAGCAGAAACCCCCAATATGAACATTGAACAAAAATCTCACCATAAATCAAATTTTTCTTCCAAAACTTGCTAATTTTTTACATATATCTGCTTGAAGGACTTTTTTAAAATCTATTGTTTGCAGTCTAGATCAACTCTCTCTATTTACAACAATACTATCTTTTTACAATGAATTTTTGATTGCATAGGATTCCCTCCCTATGCTACAGAGGTTCATCACAACAAATTTCTCTCCACAAAACTTTTTCTCTGGTCTCTTGACTTTTCCAGTGGAGCTAGGGTCTATACTCTATAGTCTATACCACCTGCATGTGTGAATGCTTTTTTGCTGCTTTGATTCCTTTTAATGCCAAAAGGGCAAAGCCTGTGGAGCTTTCTATACTGTTCAATCATTTCCTTAGTCTCAAAGATAAGAAAAAAACATTTGTAATCAATTTTTGGAATAATTTTTCCTCTGTATCACTTGATAAAATGCAGGCTATACTAAAATGTGTTCAACACCCTGGGTTATTTATTTCTTCTCATCATATAGGTTCCATGAGAGACTCATGTTTTTGGAAGCCTCTTACAAACATTTTGCTCATGTGGTGACCCTGGCTTGGCCATCAGCAGAGCTGGTCTGGGCTGTTAATCATCCTTTGTCCCTAGTGTCTACTGCGCAGGCACACATTTCTTTGAAAGTAAGGAAATATTACAATTCCGAATTCATTCCAAATGCCGAAGCAACGATCCGTTGGGCATTTCGCTCCAATAATGCTGCTGGTGGCGATAATGCAAAAACCCGCCATATTCGTCTGTGGAACTCATTGCCAAGAATATTGACGGTGTTTACAGAAGAGGGTGGATGGAGTCCTTACACAGATGCAATTCACTTCTACTCACACTTCAACGAAGCAGTCAGGGCACAAATTGTGTTGAACTTCGTTTGCAACCGGCTTTTGTTCTCAACTCAAGCAGACCAGAACCTTTGTTGCATATCTTCTCATGAGCAGAGACCTTCACTAAAATTTTCTCTTCTCCTGCTTTTGGCAATGGTTTTGATTTTGTTGAACCCATGTAATGTTGGAGGTTCTGTGAAAAAGCGATGATTTTTGCTGCTGGAATTGCAGTAGGACCCCAGCAATAGCATGAGGACAATTTGAATTTTCAGAGGCGCTTGAAATTTTAATAAATCTGTCTCAACATCCAGACAATGTCTGGTCAACCTTGTGTCTTACGTGTATACAGTATTGCATAATTACGGCAAATTGAAAATCCAACCACTAAATGTAAGCATATTTTTACACATGAAGTACCCATGCCTTTTCATTTAAAAATTCTGAAAGACAAAAGAAAAGCAGAGGAACAGCTGATGGTCTAACACTCTAACTATATATGGGTCATAACAGTGATCAAATGATGCTGGGATTTTTCAACTAGTGGTCCCCCATCTTACATCATCAATCTGTTCCAGGATGGACATCTTAACATGGGGCCATCATAAGTTGAAACCCTATTTCCCTTAAGGTTACATCATAAAAAAATTAATTGGTTCCAGAAAAAAATATTCTACTGAAATTACGTTTATATTTCAACTTTTTGTCAGAAATTGCATTAATAGACACAAGACATGTTTGAAAGACTGTATAAAACAAAAGTGATAGAGGGTAGGGTAGTGAAATTGGGTAGGAGGAGAATGATTTTCACAATTTTGAGCAGTTTTCACAACTTCTTTACACCTTTTTCACACTGTTGCACATTTTCACTGTTGAGAGTCAGACAAGCTTACTTCCAGCTGATCCACAGAACCTGACGACTCAATCTTTTGCTGCTTGGAAAATGCTGAAACCTGGAAGAAATTGTCCAAGGTAGTCTGCCTCTGTCTCTTTTTTAGGAGCTGTCTAAAGTGCCTCATGGCAGTCTCACTGTAGATGTCCCCAGCTCTGTTTACCTCAGCTTGTTCAGGGTGATTTTTGTTGACAAATTCTTGAAGCTCCTCCCAATTCTTTAAAAACTTCTTGATGACAGTTGTTGGGATGGGTTGTCTGCCTTCCTCCTCCTCTTCATCTGCAGATGAAAGATCCTGCTTTGCTTCATCAGCATCTTGATGCAGCAATAGCTGCAGCTCTTCAGTGGTGAGTTCCTCACAATGTTCTTCAATGAGATCTTCTATGTCTTCCTTCATGGGCTTATGTCCAGGTGCAACCTTCTCTTCTTTGCTGATGAAAGTCCTTGAGGGCATCTTCTCCGAAGAAAGTCCAGTTTCATCAGCATTGGAAACCTGTTGGGTATGTGACAAAGGATTTTTTTGTTACACACTGTGAAATTCTCTGCAAACTTATCACCTGTTGGGCTAGGTAATCTCCATTCACAAGCTCTTGAAACTTGACTGCAAACTTCTCAGCTGCTTCTTTGTCAGCACTGGCTGCTTCAGCATGCATGAGAAGACTGTGGATCCCAACCCTTTTCTTGAACCTGTGGAACCAACCCTTGCTTGCCTTGAACTCTTCCACCTGCCTCAATGGTTCTTCAGAACATGCTCCATGAGCCTCCTCAGCTTTTTTCTGGAGGTCTTCAAAAATGACCCTGGCCTTCTCCATGATGATGCCTGTGGGGGTGATGTCCCCTTTCAAGTGCCTGTCATTGATCCAGATTGCCAGAAGTTTCTCCATTTCTTCATTGATGGAAGCCCTCCTATTTCCACTGACACATGCAACTCCCTTGAAAGCACTGCTGGAGGCCATAATTTTTTCTTTTTGGGCCAAGATGGTACTAATGGTGGAGTGCCTGACACCATATTCTTGTGCAAGATCAATGACCCTGCATCCAGCTTCATTTTTTTGGATGATTTCTTTTTTCACTTGGATAGTTATAACTTTCCGAACTTTCTTAGGTGCCATCTCAACAGATGGAGGGCTTGTTTCACACACTTGAAATGCCTGGAATAAACATTTAGTTGAGTTTTAAAATTGCAAGAATGGATAATTTTCTGGCAAATTATTGAATTCCTCCTAAACAAAATTATGTAGCTATAATGAAATGCACAGGGCAGTACAGAACACAGAAAATTCAAAATCCCTCCTAAACACAATTATTCAGCAATACTGATATGAACAGTACAGCACACACAAAATTAAAAAATATGCTCCTAACACAGCAATTTCCAAACTTAGGGACAATTTATTTCCTGTGCATGGCACCATCTCACACTGTTAACAGTATAATCTGGCTAGGAATGAACCTTGGCACAAAAAAGAACTCACTTCCTCCTGTGCTGGGCCCACTGCACAGCAGTTCAAGATTGTCCACAAATGAAGGAAGACGTACTCCAAAGAAAACTTATCACATTATACTGACGTAAATTTCTCAGCACATCATCCATTTTCAAGTGAAGATTAATTTTAGAGCAACATGGCTATAATTGGGTTTTCAAATGGCTCAATGTACCTCATGAATTTGTTTGATGTAACCATATACAGCAAGACCCCAAAATGCAGATATAATTGGATGTGCATCAAGTGTCCTTAAGTCAAGTCTAGTTTTCCCATAGACTCACATTATATAATTTTTAAATGGTGTTCTATGGAAGAAATATTCTTCAAAAATCCATGAATAAAAAAAATTGCTTGCCACTTGAACTTGATTCAGTGAATATCTTGTAAACTCAGTAAGAACATTTGGAGCCTTGAATAGTGTACCTCAGTACAATAAATTAAAATGTTGACATCTGTAAAAATAGCATTCAAGTCACAAAGAGAGAAGGAAGTCCCTCTATGATAAGTTTTTTTAATCAGCCGAATGGACAGGAAATTGATGGGAGAAATATCAAAGATTTTTTCTTGCATAGATCTTAATGTTAGGAAAATCTGTTTCTTGCAATTAAGCATAATGAAAGTCAATTTTCCTGAAATTTATGGCCAATTTTATCATGCAATGTCCACATGTTGAGTCAGTGTCCATTTAGTGAAAAATAAATGCCCTTATGTCAAATTGTCTACATGTGGGGGTCTCACTATATATTCAAGTGCACCCCATCTGAAGATATTTAAACTCAAGGTTTTGGTTGTTGTTGTCACAGCAGTTGGAATGATCAACTATAAAAAAATGCAGGATCAAGAACAATAATGATGAGGCAAAAATAAAAATGTATATAGACTTTGTATTTAGTAAAAACATGCTCAAAAATTTATCCAATGATAGGAACCTCTAGTACGCAAAATTATTCAGGGATTGCGACATTTTCTGGAGACGGGTTCTTTTCAGCATCAGCACTCGGCCCGGAATCATTCAAAACGCAAATAAACAGCCAAATTACCAACTTCAATCCTCATGAAATTCAACAAACAGAATTAGAACCTCAGGCTGAAGAGCAAGCGCCGGTTGAAATCGGGATTTATGAAAGGAGTGTGGAGAAGAACAAAAGTCAACAACGTCTCAGCATCGAAACGAAGACAAAATACAGTGAGACCCCGAAATACGGACAACTAGACTTGAGGACACTTGATTTGTTCAAAAATCTGACACAACATCCAGACAAAATCTCAAAATACGGACACTTTTCCAACATTTCTGAGAGAATGCTATTTTTTTAAATTTCGGAATATATTGAACAAGTTCGGCTATTCATATTCATTGATGGAAAATTCATTGAAATTCATAATTGAAACAGGTTGATTTTCTGATAATTTTTTTGAGCACTTTCCATCACCTGTGCAGAGTATAACAGGACTTGTACTCTTTCTTTGCTCTTTTTGGGGTCCTTTTGATGCTAGAAGACCAAATCTTGGGCGGATTTCTTTACTTCGAACAATTATACAGCAAATTCTCTATCTTTCAGTTGAGAAACACTTATTTTAATCAATTTTCAGGGGTATTCATTTCCAATTTTCGATGAACTGCAGAACCAACAGAATAAGTCAACATTGAAGTTGATGGGAAAACAAGACCCAACATGCGGAGGTTTCGACATACGGACAATAAAGGTTCCAACACCAATTACGTCCGCATCTCGGGATCTCACTCTCAATGTGAAATATAATCAAGGTGAATCGATTTTGTCGCCGGTCAAATAGTCCTCCCGCAGCTTCATCACTTTCCGTTTCTGGCTCTCCATCAACTGCGTCATTCGATCGTATTCAATCGGCACGCCACTAAAACCGAGAGGCAAAAATGCATGAGTATCCGAGAGAATACCGGAAACAAAAATGAAAAAAAAAAAAAACTCACTCAAATTTTCTCAAGTTCTTCCAAATAACTGAATGTTCCACTTCCTTCTTCTTCACTCGTTCCCAGCGGGCAGCCAAAGCTTGTAGACAAAGGGTCCTTTGCTTCAGTTCGCCACCCTTTGATGAATGAGTAAACCTTTACAATACTCATATGACAATCTCAGGAGGGAAAGAAAAGAAGCTCACCTGACACGGCGTGCCCAACTTACAGAGGCTTTCAGAGAGCGAAAAGTGTTCCAGCAATGGAGCTCCAAAGCACTCACATGAGAGCGCGCCAATGACATCCAGTTTCCTGATTGAACACAAAAAACACAGAAGGAATTATAGTTTGTTCATTTTGAGTGATAAGGGGAATTGCGGTGTAGGAGGGAAAATGTCAGGTGGGGTCGCAAGAAGCATCAACTGAGGATAGCAAACCAGAAACAACTGCTTGACATTTCAATGAATGGGCTTGAGGTGAACAAATGAAAGTGATTAAGAGCAGATGTACATAGCACAGTACACAATCACCCTATCAAATAAAGTAGCATCTCATTAAAACAAATTTTTCAGTATAACCAACTTTTTTCCAAGTCTCAGCAGAAATCTTATAGGGTACATGTTCAAAAAAATCTTATTGCAACAAACTTTCCAATTTCAGTGTGACAAATTTTTAGGAGGAACACGTTTCTGGATCTGAATTAAAAAACCCCAATGACAGCAGGCCCAGTCTCACACTTCCCATTCAAAATGTGACTGTCACTGGTTCTTGAGACATGAGGTTGAATCACGAAAAAGTTATCAAAAATTCCCCTGAACATCCTCCCCTTCAAAAACTGTTCCTCAGTAATAGGAAAGATGGCGGGGGTGGGTTAGATGCAGAAAATTAACCCAGCAAAACTCATGTTGAAAGGGGTTTGTATGCTTGAGAAACCCTAGTGCTGATGTTTAAAATTTTAAGCTTCTTTGGAACATCCACCCTTCCAAATCTGTGCAGGAATTGCTTAGAAAAACTTGATGTCAACCAAAAGTACTAGTGCGAACCTGTTATTCAGAGTAAATGTTTGTTATCAACATTTAAATTTCTTTTTGAAGATTTTAAACACAGAAAAACATTTGAAAAGGCCACAAAAGGAAGAAGTTGAATACATACAGGTCTGATTTGAAGAAAATCTTCCAGTCAATAATTTTTAGAATCTCATGATAAAATTTATTTGTTGGAAAATTTTTTTTGGAAATTTTTTTTTTCAAAAGTCCCCACAAATTTGTTGTAACAAGATCATACTGTATGAAACTCTTTCATGAAATAATTTCATTCCATGCACACAAGGCCTTCCTGGATCAACAATCTTCACAGTGGCATCAGCAATTCAAAAATTTGAATGAAATCAACTGCATCACTACAGCAAATAATCATTCCAATATAGTAGACATGGAAATTAACCCTTGGACGGCAGAGGGTTCTTTCCCATAGTGTGATAGAGTCAGATTATTTTTGTATCCTCCCGCATTTTCAGTTTTGGGAAGGTCACCCTTCCACGTGTGCTAAGGCAAAGTCGGGATTAATCAAAAAAAAAAAAACCGGGTAGCCGAACTGAGAAATTTTTTTGGCCCGCAAAATTTTCTGTGCTCAGAGAAAAACGCATGGGGATTTTTCCTGACTTTTCCCTTGACCACCAATTATCATTTTTTCTTCCAAACCTCTCTGAGGGGCCACAAAATTTCACAAAAATAGTCCGACTTCGCCGCACAAGGGTTAAATGATGTGCATCCTGATCCCGAGGGACCTACACTCACGCTCTTCTCTCATCCGCCACCTGGCAGAGATCATTGACCAGCCCATTGGCCGCCTCAAGTCTGCGCTTTCGCTCGCGAAACTCATTCCTTGCCAGTGGGAACCCGTCATGGGCTGCCATCAAGTAACGCACCAACGTCAAAGTGGCTATTGAGCCATTGCCAATGCAGTCGGAATCCGTGGCCAGGGCCTTGACCAAGCGGACAAACAAGTCCGCTTCACTCACTGCCCACTCGAGATCTCCGATGCTGAAATCCAAGAAAGCCGCCCGCAGACCAACTCGAGCTACGGCACCTGCTGCCCCACAATTCAAGAATTCCAGTTCAACAGTTCCAAAAAGAAAAATAATCCTCAAAATAACTATGCGTGACTTAACTCGACAGCTGAGCGGATTCCTCGTCTGCCATCACATTCCCAAGCATCACGATCCTGAGGACGCTTGCAACTGCAAAGACTGTCTCACAAGTAGTCGAAGCTTTCGCGCGTCGAAAATGCCGCCATGAACATTCGGCTTTCCTTTCCGCAATCAATTCAAGAATAATGTTCCGGCTAACTTCTGAAAAACTCGGGTTACACACGTCATGCATCCAAAGCAGCCCGTTTCTTTTTTTTCTCGGGAGAATACAAATAAAATCAACGGAGATCTCGGCAAGGAAATTCCAGAATACAGCAACCGTAAACAAAATTCATTCTCTCCACAGAGCAGGAACGACTGCACAGGCTCCAATTTGAACTTGCATCTTTCCCCCGCCCCCGTTTCTTTTTTGTTTTTGAAAACTGACAAAAGAGAAATCTTTTTTTTTCGAAAAGCCTACGACGGCACAATCAAAAGATAAATACAGCAATTAAAAAAAAAAAAACGGACATTCGATTCGAACGGCTCCACGAAAAAATCCTGAAAATCTCGCAGGGTCCGAAAATCCCGCGTACTACGAAATCGTAAAAATGTGTCTCGGTTTCAACTAAAAGCAGTGGATCGAATAAATATCAAAAAAAGATGGAGACAAGAAAATTCAGTGGATTTATTCTTCCGTGGCCTTCAGGTGGAAATCTTGTAGAGTCAACTACGAACTTTTCGGATTTCGAAGATGCGTTTTCATGCGGTTTATCATGTACTGTTCATTGAATATTAAGTTCTAAATTTGACTGAATGGAATATCACCATCAAAATGCATTCAGACTTTCTAAATACAGTGATTTAGGAATCATGTACACGCCGTTCCCTATTGCAGGTATCAAAGAACATCCTTTTATGGTACTGTACAAAAATTCTCGTTCCTGTGGGATTTTCGGACCCCGCGGTATTTTCACGGGATTTTCTCCTGCACCCGATGCCAACACAACGGCCATGGGACGGATGACCCCACAAAATACGGCGATGGCGAAAAAAAAAAAAAACGGGGAGACGACTGAGAATGTCTCACTTCCCGAAAAGATCCATTCAATTTTTTTTTTTTCATTGCTCCATCGAAATGCAGTCATCCTTGCTGAAACGGGCCTTGATTTGACCGCTTTCGTCGACAAATTTGCAGCCGGGTGTTAGCTGGCCTTCCTCCATCTGACTGCATTCGATAACGCGGTCCATCCGCTCCCGCGGCAGAAACGGCGTGTCCTCCTCGTCGTCGTCGTCATCTTCCATCAGCGGCACTTCGCAGGAAACAATCCCGCCCTTCAGGGATGCTGACGTTGAGTCCTTTGACGACGACTCAGCACCCACTCGTTCCGCATCTTTCGACGGGCCCCAATTGATTTTGAACCTGCACAAGAGAAAAAATAACGAAAACGATGAAAAACTCAACGCAGCGTACAAAAGTTCAAGTACATTCAATTCTGTAAAAGTAGAATTTTAAAAGAAAATTCGACTCAGAGAGGTTTCGAATTGGTGAGATTTTCAGCTTGGGCAATGAGCACTTTTGTTGCGGGGACCATGAAAAAATAATCAAGGAAGTAGTCAATGGTGATATTCAGGGTCTGAAATTGCTTCTTGAAATGAGTTGACTGGATGCTGAACTCGGAGGCAGGGGTTCATTCGCCAAATCGATCTTTCACATCCTTTCAAAGCACATCAAATTCCAGTACTTTCCTGTTATCTCTGTACCTTCCCTCTGACCAATTTAACCAGACCTAGCCTAACTTCACCTAACCGCCTCCCAAAATCAGTTTCTGCTTTCTTCGGGTTTCTGCTGAAACTGATTTTGTTACAAATATCTTTCAATTAACATAACCTGACCTAACCTAACTTTACCTAACCGCCTCCCCTAATCAGTTTCAGCAGAATGCGGAAAAATAAAATTCACGGTTTCTGGTAGGTTGTTGTGATTATGAACTCGTCCTAAAGATTTGTCTGGATGGTAGTGCGGTCTAGGAATGAGGTACTGAGATAACAGGAAAGTACCCAAATGCCTTTTCTCTTTCCTGTGCCAAAAAAATAAGAGCCAAAAGGCCTCAGGGAATTCGACTTGGAGAGGAAAAGCTTTCAAGTTAGGGATGTTTTCAATGCATTTTTTTCTACAGGACTTGAAGATAATTGACCTAGGGGATGGTTCGAGTTATTGGGGTTCAACTGTACCTCGTCACCCTCGGATCACTGGCCAAAATGTTCCGCTGCAATTTATCAAAGCAGATGACGGCCGGAGGATTTTCCTTCAGCTCGGCATCAGCGTACTCGTTATTGACATAATACCCAACACGCACAAACTCCTGGCCGTTGTAGGAACAAGTGAGAAGGATGACTGTGACCCCCACAATGTCCTCGGCAGGGATCTTGCCCGTGTCCGGCGCATCAGCCTGAAACACGAACATGTGCCGGCCCTCGGGCACAGGCCCCACATAAACCGTGTCCAGCACTTGGTCATAGTTCTCGCTTTCCGCTGAGCCCACGTAGATGAGTTTCCACTCCAGGTCCTCGGGTAGGTCTTCGATGCAGTCGAACGTCACTTGGAACTGCAACGGATTCACGAACGGAGAAGGATTGTCCAGCACTGTCACGTTGCTCACATGCACTTTTGCCATCTTGCTTTTTTTTTCTTCACTAGCGCCGGAGAAAAAGCAAACCTTGAAAAAAAGATCAAAACATTCCAATTATAATTCCTCTCTTTCATTGAATACGGTTGAACCTCCAAAAGTCAAATTTTTTCCAAGTCCCCATCTGAATTCCTTCAGGCACAATGTATTAAACACCTCTCTAACTCAGAAGCTTTTCCTCTCAAATCTCTGTAAGCTGAACTTTCTGAGGCCTTCTGGCTATCTTTTTTTTTTGTGGACAAATGAAAGATAAAAGCAAGAAATCAAGTAAGTTAGTGTGTTTTAAAAGGGAGTGAAAGACTCATCAGGCAAATGAATCCCTGCCTCAAAGTTCAGCAAGCTGTAAACTCATACAAGAAACAATTCAAGACCCAGAATACTGCATCACCATTTGAAATGTCCTGCAATTCGTTTCTATTTCACACAATAAAAAGGCTTGTTTCCCTCCCTTAGTTGAAATTTTTGCTGGTCCCTTGGAATGGGACTCAAAGAGGTTCAATTGCATTGAGATGCACATCAACACGTCTTCATCCGGAGGATTCTATTTCAATTCAACAAAAACACACTTGAATTTCATCCCCACGCATTAGCCTTATGTTTTGGCAAAAATTTGAAATCACTCGGAACTGGACCCAAAACCATTTCCGTAATTTTGACCCAATCGGAGCAAAGCGGGGAACTCAATAGAGTTTCCAAATCACTGCGTCCAAAGTACGGGGGTGGGCGCTCATTGATCTTCTGCGGGAGCACCTCCAACAATCCAACAGGGATGTAGCGGTGTAAGAAGGATAACCATTCAAGCAGGAACCGTCTTGTTCTATCCACTCCCTGCTCACAGTAAAGTAAAATCTCATCACAACAAATAATGTTACAACACATTTTCGGGAATAAATAGCTTTTTTCAAAGTCCCAACAGAATTCCAATGGGGAAAATGTTATTTTAAAAAATCTGGTTAAAAATAACTTCTAAATTCCAGTACTGTACAACAATCTTCCTTGAGGAACATGTTCTGATTTTCTACTGAAAAATCACAAACGAAGACGGGCCCAGTCACACATTTCCCATTCAAAATGTGACTATGACTGCTTCTTGGAAAATAACATGGAATCAAGAAAAAGAATTTTTGTAAATTCACCAGAACATCCTCTCTTTCAAAAATTGTACCTAGGCTAGGAAAGATGGTGGGGGGTGGGTTAGATGAACAAAATGAACCCAGCAAAACTCATGTTAAAAGGGTTTTGTATGCTTGAGAACCCCAGGTGATGTAAAAATTGAAAGCTTTCTGGAACACTTACCCTTACAAATCTTTGCAGGAAAACTTGAAGTCAACAAAAAGTAGTATTCTTTAACCGTTATTCAAAGTAAATGTTAGTTAATAACATAAAATTTTTTTTTGAAGATTTTAAAAACAGAAAAACATCTGAAAAGGCCACAAAAGGAAGATGTTGAATATACGCAGGTCTAATTTGAAGAAAATCTTCCCATCAGTCAATAATTTTGAAAATCTCGTTATAACAAAGTATTTCTGAAAACAAACTTTTTCTGAAGTCCCCATGAATTCATTGTAACAAGATTTCATGCACCCCAAAAAAATTGCAAAAAATAAAGAAATAATTCACAATCACAAACCTGATCGTCACTGCCCCAATGCTCGAGTCCGTAATTTGCATACTTCTTCACAATATCCAGACGCTCCTGAGCAGAAATGTCCCAGTGCCGCTGTTCTTTAATTTCGCGAAAAAGCCACGGCTTGATGAGGGCGCCGCGACCAATCATCATGCCCGAAGTGGCAGAGGGCTCAGACCCGTAGAACCGTTTGACGGGAGCATCCTCAAACGACAGAACATCGCCGTTGCCAAACACTGGCAGCGGGTCTGCCTTCAAAGCGCACTCTTCTATGTAATCCCAGTCCGCATTGTTCTTGTACCTCTGCGTTCGAGACCTCCCGTGCAGCTGAAAATGGCAATAATAATAATCCTGCGTGAGTAACTTCAAGTCGGATCAATGCAAATAATTTCAGTACCGTGATCATGTCAACGCCCCATTCCTTCGCCGACGAAATCAGTTCGTGGGCAATCCGCTTCTCTGACGTCAACCCAGTGCGCATTTTCAGCGTGATGGGGAAGCTCGGACCCACGATCCGTTTGCTAGTCCTCACTACTTGCTCCACAACATTTTTCCGTCGCATCAAACCACTTCCTGCACCCTTCAGAATGTAAACACGCACACGATTGAACATACAGTACTCACGAGATTCAAGTCAAACCATACGAGCATACCTGAGCGTAAATGGCGTCAATGGGACACCCCATGTTCAAATCAATGAAGTCCAGCTCAAGATTCTCCACCAACACCTGCACGCATTTTGTCAACACATTCGCTGTGCTGCCGCAAATCTGAAAACCCAAAATGAGACACACAAGTTAAAATTGACAAGGACATGGACATTACTGAGAAAATTTGCGGATCAGGTTTCTCACTCACTTGAACACCGAAAAAATCTTCCGTTGGATGACGTTTTGTCAGAACCCATTCATCCGGGCGGCCGTTCAGCAAACTTTTAGCAAGCGCCATTTCTCCACACGTGATGTCTGCCCCAAACTCCTTGCAAATACGTCGGAAGGGTAAATTTCCCACAGTTGTGAGTGGTGCCAAGTATAAAGGCTTTGACTTCCACGGAACCTACACGAAGGAATCAGGAAGTTTGTCAACCGAAAAATACACAAAGGAGAGCCAAGCAAAATAAAATAAAAATGAAGAGGTTCTCACTCGCTTCACGTCTGCATCCCTGGCTGAATCTACAAATGAATCCTTGTTCTCTTGATAGAGCTTCAATACCTCTTCGCATTTGCTGAAATCATGTTTTCTCTTGCGAAGAGAGTTGATGAGATGCTCTGGGATTCCGTTCTTTTCCGTCTTATACTTTCCTTGGAGATCTTTGTTGATCAGGTTCTTCCCATCTGTTTCCCGAATATGGCACTGACCATATCTGGAGAATAAAAAAAAAAAAAAAACCATGCGTCAGATCACAGGTCCACACGAAGTTGTATTTAGAAGTGTTCCTAAACCCTTTTGGGCCCACAGACCGGCAAAGTTTCATAAAATTGTTCCAGACTCAGAAAATGTTTGCTTGAAAGACTTCACAACGGGCATTTAAAAATGTCTTATTGACAGAAATTAAAAAAAAACAATGAAGGAGCTAAAGTGGAAATGTGGAATTTCTTGAAAAATTGGAAAGGTATCCTTGAAGAAAGGTTTCTCAGAAAGAAAATAATATATTTCAGCATGTGAAAATTTGTCTGAAGTGTTCTTAGGAGAAAAGCCAACTTCCATTTTTCAGCTGCCATTATCTTCCAAAATTTCCAACAAAGATAATTCATTCATTGCTACTCTAAATAAATTCATCGTGATGAAGAAAAATTTCTGCGGACTGGCAAAAAAAAAAAAGGTTGGGGAACACTGGTATAAAATATCCCACCTGCACGCAAGTCCTGACGGACAAAAGCCACGCTCATAAAACACGTGGCAACGATCATCTATGTCTGACGGTTTCATGTCCATGTACTTCTTCACATCGTGAAGGAAAGCGCAACCTGTGTACCGACAGTCAACCCATTCATCGTCAACAGTTACGCATTTAATAGAAGGACACGGCTTCTTATCCCTGGCAAATGAAGTGGGACGAGGACGATTTTTGTTTTGACCTTGGAAAAAAAGAGAGCGCATAATGGGCAATCGTGAATTTGTAACCATAAAAAAATCTCGAGCAGAAACAATGCTGACCTGCAAACAATTTCTTTCGTTCTTTCCGTGATAATTTAGCGGCTTTCTCTGGAGGCCCACCATCGTCATCGGTCGCGGCATCATGCAGCTTTCTTTTCGCTTCATCCGGGATATAGTCCATGGCAACATTCTTCTCTAGCTTAGGTTGATGGAACCTGCACGTAATAAGGTTTAATCAATCCATAATTTCCCGGATCACACGAGCTATAATACCCACTTTGGTTTCACAGGAGCCACACCAACAGGTTTTTCGTTCACTACTGAGGCTTCTGATAACATTTTTACAACACTTTCAATAGCGCTTCTTGAACTTTATTTGGTCAAACGCACGTGAACAGCAATGCTGTCCTCAACCACTATGACATCTCGGAAAAATTGGTTCAGTTAACTTCAGTGGCTTTCAAAATCAAAGAAATTTCCAAATGACACTCGAATTATTCAAATCCATTGATGCTCATCTGATTAATTCCTTCTCAACTGACGAATGGAAAACTTGTGTTCAGTTTAATGAGTTCATCTTTCACAAGAACTATCACAGCTGTCGTTCCTGAAGAGTCCGCTTTCAAAGCCATGCAACATGAACATCCATCTCCAGGAAACCCTGCAATGAATCATGAAGGGTATCACTATACATTCAATAGGAATTCAGTGATCAACAACAATAAGTCGGATGGGAATTCAGTGATTAACAACAAGACGGAAGGGAATTCAACGATCAACAAGTCGGATGGCCTCCTCAATGTTCCCACCAAGTGGTAATAATGTATGTGTGGAGATGCTCGCCCACATGCCGGGATCAATTTTACAATCTAAAAACACAATATAAAATAAATCGCATTTCCACTAGAGTGTTTTCTTCTGACTCTAAAATTTAATCAAATACATCTGTGCGTGAATCTTGCATATACATACGACATCCTTGCATGGATGATAAACCCACTTTCCAGACAGAATTTTCCACACGTAAGTGCTTCCACAATGATGCAATTAGCAAACCCAGCTGGAAATGGATACATTTTGAGCTTGAATGCTGCGATTTTGAATTTGCTCGAATCAGATTTTTTGATTTGATAAGATCTTCAGCAAATAGATACGAGGCTCGCTCAGAGTCTTCATATCGTTCCGACGATGGATCGGAAGTTTCGGACTCGGGAATATACCACTGGCAAAACGTCTGCACCATTCTTTGTACATAAAAGGTGAAATCAAATACATAAAAGTACTAGAATAAATTCAAAATAATTTCAAAAGAAACACGTACTGAGCACCCTTCTGTACCATGTAAACAAACTCATTTTTTTCACTCACATGGACTTCATACTCGAAGAAAATTTGGGAGATCGACGATCTCATCAGGATCAAGGAAGCGATTGTTCGGCTCTGGCTTCCTCAAAGACTCATCAACCAGGGGTAGCACCGTTTGGAGATTTAAATCATGCTAGCACCAACAGATCTTCTCGGCGTAGCATGATCATCAACTTCCGCCGGTTTTGACTTGCCAGTTTTGAGTGAAATTCGGCAGTTGTCCGTGAACAGAATCACACTACAAACCATCATAATTGCAATACTTCAGATTTATCAATTTACTACAGATAGTTTCATGCTCACTCGTGATCACGCAAAGGTGGAACCGTTTGCAGAAGGAAATCGTCCGTCTCCAACAGAAATGCCCTTTCGGCTTCCATAAAAGTTTCCGAAATTTCAACTCCGGTGATAGCGGACTGCTTTGGCGGCGCAAGAAGAGGACGTCGGGAACGACCCGATACTCATTTGGATGCCGGGTTTGCACTCTTTGACATAGTTGGAAGGAAGCCATCCAGTTTCCATATCCCACCAACCACCTTCCTCCATTTGAGTTACAGTAATTATATCGCTTTATCTGAAGATAACTGCAATGAACAAATATTTAGCATAAGGCCAAAATAAGCAGAAATGTTCAGGGGAGTGGTCTGAATATTGGACAACTCCGGAAATTCTGCCACATTTTATTACGCAGGAAAGAATGGGGAGAAATCTTACAAGCACACAGAACACGGACTCAAGGGCATCACTTTCACAAGCAAAATATATGGTTTCTATTAAATTCGAAATCAGGAAGATGGAGCTCGTAAAACTAGAACTGTAGGACGAGTCTTGGGTGTACACCAACTTCGAGCAACCGGAGGAAACAACAGGCGAGAAGGTGAGTGCCGCGCGCTCTACGTTGGCGTGCAGCGCACAGCTGTGCGCGGCAGATGCATACCAACTGCACGTCACACGTTGTAACTCATGACATAGGTGTCGCTCTAATTCACACGTCGACGGTATCATGTTCATTCATTCATCCGATACTTATTGCAGTTTTAAGTTTTATTAAAATATTTATTAAAGCTTTATTTACAGTACAGTATTTATTGTAGGCATATTTTTTATTAAAATATTTATGATATTACAGTACTGTATGCCCATTTGTGAAAATGTCTAATGCACATTGGATCACATGCTGTTCCCACAATTTCAAGGGAAATATTCTCAATCTTTTCTGTTGAAGGAAAGTTTTCGTGAACAATTAGTTAAAGTAGATCTTTCTTTCTAGTCAAAGGAAATAACTGCACAGATAAGAAAGCTGGGACAGAATCTACCCTTTTAAAATAAAAGGTAGTCCAGAAGGAGAAGGAAAATAAAACACAAATACACTATTAATAATATGTACAGCTAACAGCAAAACGTTATTCAGCAATTAAGTGCTGAAATTGTCTGTTTTAAGATCATTCAAGTTAAATTTGAGATGTTGGATTTCATTCTTAGATTTCTAATTTGTCTTTTAACTCTTGAATTAAGAGATAATTTAAAACTAATATGTGAGATTGGAAAGTAAAACAAAATATCTCTCTCACTTAATGAGTGATTTGTTTGCTGAAGAATATGTGGCATTTCAATAAATAGATGCGGCATGATTTGAAACAAAAACAAATGCATTTTATTCCTTGGTACAAAATCACTCAATAAAAAAATCACACAATTTGCAATGCTCGATATAAATAACTGTGCTGCAACTGATTTTCTGTTTGGTCAATTTCAAGGATATTCTCATAATTTTCTTTGTATATATTCCTGCTCAACTTCTGTCCTTGGAATTGATCATCATCAATATCTGCAAGTGCAAGCATGCAATGAAAAACCTTCTTCTCTTCTGGCAGCAAAACACTTGCTTTCAATAAAAGAGTTACAAAGAACATCTCAAGTGCACTGTAAATCCCATACAATGAGTAAAAATGAAAAATTTGGAATGCTTTTCAACTTTTTCCATGTGTGGAATTCCAAAAAGTTCCTGAGAAACTTTGAATTTGTATTTAAATTATGAAGACAATAAGGATTTTCAGGTGATGGATGCCACAGGCAAGGCTTCCTCTCTGAGTCTGGATATTCCGACGTGTCTATTGAACTTTCGGAATCCTAAGGACTAGTAAAACTACTCACCGAACTCAGACCGGAGTTAGGCGAACAAACACTACATAACCCTCATACAACTTCAGGTGCAGTAGGCAATCATGGCTGAAATAAGAAAGAAACTTCATAAATTTGAGAAACCTCTCTGAAAATATGATATTTTTGAATCTTCCAAACTTTTCACAGTAGTTGAAGGACAAGACTAAACATTTTTTCAGTGATAAATAATATGACTGAAATACCATCAAAGAGTTCAAGTGGCACAATTTTGGATCTATCTCACCATATGGTATTTGTGTATTTTTCTGTGGCATGTTGGCCATTATTTTCTTGACCCCAGAAAGACAAAAGCAATAAAAACAGGAATTCATATGTTTTAAAGAAAGTAAAAAATTTATTGCACAAGTGAACCCCTGCCTCCAAGTTCAGCAGTCTTTCAACTCATTTAAGAAGCCATTGAAGCCCCAGGATATCACCATTCACATTTCCTATAAGTTTACCGGAAAAAGAGCTTTGTATTGTAGTTCAAACCTATCTAATTTGAAACCTCCCAAAGTCAAATCTTTTACAGTTCCCTTGAAATTTGACTTGGACAGGTTTGATTGTAGAATGTGAACAAAACTATCATCCTGCATGTTGGTTTCTTATGATCAAACAAGTAAATGCTTCTGTAATAAGAAGTAACTCAATAATGCCTGTCTAATTGAATAGTCATCAAGCTATATTTTATTTTTGGTTGCACCGCCTTTGTGGTCAAATGATTTGCTTTATATTTGATCTCCACCATCTGATCCTTTATCCAACTCATACATGTAACTTCATTCTCAGAGTTTTTTTTCAAAGGAAATGGGAGGAACCTGCTGCATTTTTTGAAGCAGGAATTTCTGTTTTTCATAGTTTTTTCAATTTCAACAGGAAGTTAAAATGATTCCTCATTCCATTGCATCTCTGGAAAAAGGTTCTTCTCATAAATTTTTAAATTGGTTTACTGATTTTGTTTTATTAAAAAAAATACTCTTCATGTATATAGTGTTCAAGATATGAATTATAACTCTTCCCATTGCATTAACATTTTACCCAATGCGAAGTTTTCCTCTTTTCACAATCACAAACTTGAATTTATAGAATTATAAATTTTTGTTGGATTCCTCCAGGCGTCTATATTGTCTACTCTCCTCAACGTTGTTACTTAACATGCGTATGATTCAATGAATCTCACCGAGAATCACCCAATAAAGTCCGCAAAGACTGCCCCAGAACGAGGACTCATCCTCAGTATTGGCAGAGCTGGCAACCCAATAAATATTGTAGAACCCGAACCCTGCGCCAACCACCAGAAGCAACATGTTCTTGACCATCCAGGGCATCAGTAACTTGTTCTTGTCCTGCATATAAGGCAAAAGAACAAACACCAATTACGCATTCAAAATCAAAAATTGATGCCAATGCTTTTATGATTGGTGATCGTAAATTATTTCACCAAATATATGCACAAGGGGTCTAACAAAAGTTCTCAGAATATAAAAATTGAAATGGCATGGGATTTAGCTTAAAAGCAATTATTAATCAGAAAAAAGCATCTTTGGAGCAAGAAAAAGAATGCTGTCCTGTTGGACATACAGTACAGTATTTTTTTTTTAAAGAATTTTTAAAAAAGTCAACATTGCAGCTTTCTGCTTTTTGCACATCTTACAATTATTTTGTTGTTGAAATTCTGTTGGAAGACATGGATGAGGCAACCCCTGAAATTAATGGCATGTCAATTTCAAGAATTATGAATGAGATCTACATCAAATATATATATACAAAAGGCCAGCCTCATCTATTTAGTGAAAAACATAAAGCTGCCATGGTGATTTTTGCAACACAAAGACATTGCAAAAATATGTCAATCGAGTGCCAAAGAATGTTCTTATGAGAAATGCAAATACCCATATACAGTAGTGCCATTGTTTCTCCTGGCACATTTTGGGGCAGTTTTCAGGGAACCACTTTTATAAATCAAGGCTTGACTTTAATTGCTTTTCAGTAGCTCATATGCCCTTCAAATGAAAAGCCTTTTAATTCCAAGTACCAATTTTTGCGAAAACAACAAAAAAACATTGCAAAAATATGTCAACTGAGTGCCAAAGAATGTTTGTTATGAGAAATGCAAATACCCATTTAGTGTCATTGTTTCTCCTGGCACATTTTGGGGCAGTTTTCAGGGAACCACTTATATAAATCAAGGGTTGACTTTGATACTTTAATTGCTTTTCAGTAGCTCATGCCCTTCAAATGAAAAGCCTTTTAATTCCAAGTACCCTTTAAAATGATATCTTGAGAACTTTTGTCAGAACCCTGGTATTGATGAAGCACACACCAGTACCAGAAGAAGAAAAAAAACTCACAAAATAAGCACCATAGGCCAACAGCACGGAGACGATCAGATTTATGAATGAGGACGTGATTGCGGAAATGAGACCAGCGTTCCAAACTGCAATAATTCAGGTGCATGCATAATAGAAATGTGTACAGGGAAAATCAGATTGATTTTCCAGTATTTTGATGATTTCAAGAGAAACCCTTTTTTTTCCTAAATTGCTCACTGACCTCCTTTTGTGATGGAGTAGAAATCCCGGGCTTGTTGAGCAATGAGCAGCGTTTTCTGCTCATTTTTGGTGTGCACCAGGTGGAGCCAATAAGATGCAGCACTGATCACCACAATGCAAAATGTCTGCAATTTTGGAAAAAAGATGCATTGCCATCAGAAAATGCAGGTGGCTACAATCATCTGGCAACAAAAATATTCAAGTGGAGTGCTGATCAAGGGAACAGAATTGCTGCAAATGAGAAAGTCCACTTGTATACTGAACAATTTCTAAACTCCTCATGACTTATAAATATTGATTCCTTCAATTGGGTATAAACTTGGAAAATGAATAAATTGACAATACAGTGATACCCCAGGATTCAGATGTAATTGGTGCATCAAGAGTGTCCTGATGTCAGAATTTCCCAAAGTCCAGTCTCAATTTCCCTTAGACTCCAATGCTAGTGTATTCNTATAAACCAGGACTGTGAAAATAGTGTTGACCATCAGTACATTGCTCTTAATAATGAAGCAATGGGACTTGCCAAGCAAACTCCAAAGACCAGAAGGAACTGTTTGCTTATATAGCAACTCATTACTTTGTGCTGTATAACTTACTCCCACTGGATGATACACAGTGAAGTATAATTCCAGCAATTTTCTCACCATCCAAATGAAGGCAATGGCAATGACACCGTCTCGACCGCAGTAGCAGCAAACCCTGGGCACCTCGGGTGGTGCTGACCCGACCCGTCCCATGACCCAAGTTTCAGCAACCTACTGGAAATCATAAATAATTTATGTTCTGACTGAAACTTTTTAAAAAGCGCCAACAACGAGTGCAGTTTCATGATGATGACAACATTTTCTTCAACAGCGGATGAAAGCTCCACAAAAACACAGATTAAAATTAATATTGTTGAATAAATTGAACTTTTTAATTATTATACACAACAAACTTTATTAGGGCCCCTAGATGCGGACATATATGATGCTTGGACCTTGTCCCTCTGTCATAATGTACCCACATTCAGGATCACGTTTTCCCATAGACTTGAATGGAAACATATTAAATTGGTTCTCCTCTGTTCATCAAAAATTAAGGAATAAAGTCCCAAACAATAATTGAAAACATTTTTCAAAGCCACAAGGATACAGAAAGTAACTGTAAAAACACAGAGAATCTGATCTTCTGGCATCGAAAATAGCTCAAGAAATAAGTAATAAGAAGAGGTCTTGTCACACTGCACACATGGGGTGAAAACTCTACAATAGGCAAGTACAACATCAGCTTTTTCTCCATTATCAATTCAAGTAATTTTATAACATGGCCAATTTCTACTTCTGTAATTGATAAAAATAGCTCCATTCTCTCAAGAGAATCACAGTTCAGAGAAAAAAATTGCCTGAATTTTTATAGAAATATTTGAAAGGTTCCTGCATCATTTTAAGAAATTGTCTGAATGATGCTGTCACGAATAAAGTTGGTGAGGTTTAAAATAGAAATGATTCTTGAAATAAATCCAACAAGGAATTTGATTGGGCTACAACCTGGGTGAAATCTCACCCTATTTTAAAGTTGTTGTAATTCAAACACACAGTCAACACACACAATGTTCACAAAAATGCTGGAGTGTCTGGTACAAGAGCTCAGAGAAGAGTGTAGGATTTTGATTGATTCAGAAACCAGGAAAACTGTCCTCCAAGGACAAATAACAGAACCAGGATTTTAGCAATAGAAAAAACAGCCTTGGAGGCTTCCAGAAAAGGTGTGTTTGAACCAAGGTCTTTCCGGGTTCACACAGATATGCACAAAGACAAAAGTCTT